AATCATCCAGTCCTTGTGTGTGTGTGTGTGTGTGTGTGAGAGAGAGAGAGAGAGAGAGAGAGAGAGAGAGAGAGAGAGAGAGAGAGAGAGAGAGAGAGAGAAGAGGGGGGTTGCAGGGGGTGTTGAATAGTAAGGACTCTGATGGGCAATACCTGGGCACTGGCTGTTGAATAGTAATGTCTGGTTTTAGTACTGCTTGCCAACCTTGTTGGACTTCTGTATTCCTGTGCGTATATCCTGTTGTCTTTTGACTATATGGGATAGCTGGATCTGCCAGTCTTTAGTCAAAAGACTCAAAACGCAGCAGCTTGAATGGGAAGTGCAAGTTGCAGCTTTGCAAATGAGCTTGGAGCTCTTCTCAGTCCGTCTTAGAGAGTAGCCAGACCCAAAAACTTGACGACAAAAATGATTCAAAAATGTGGAAGTGGAGGGAAGGACTGGATCAGTGTCAAAAGCTGCAGCCACGTTTTTGCACTTCCACAGTAGCTGGAATGACTGGTTGCTGATGATGCACACTTTGGAGTGTGCAGTCGACGGACTGCAATGCGGACTACTCTGTGTGTTTGTGTTGTCATGTTCGCTTTACACAACTCCACAGAAAAAAAAAACAAAAGCATGACTCTGCCAGACGTCACTCTGTGTGTGTGCGTTGGGGGGATTTGTGGGGGGGGGGGGGGGGGGGGGGGGGGGGAGGAGGGAGGTGGACGTGGGTGTGTTTGTGTGTGTGTGTGTTCACGTGCCCGCCAGATTTCCTGGGTGTGTTTGTGTGTGTGTAGACCTGCTCACCACATCTCCCATTCAAATGTTTGCCCGTTGAAGGCCAAGGCAGGGGGGGAGGTAAATGTGGGTGTGTTTGTGTGTGTGTTGGGGGGATTTGTGGGTGGGGGGGGGGGGTTGGACATGGCTGTGTTTGTGTGTGTTTACGTGCCTGCCAGATTTCCTGGGTGTGTTTGTGTGTGTGTGTGTATACCTGCTCACCACATCTCCCATGCAAATGTTTGCCCGTTGAAGGCCAAGGCGCAATTGTTGAACGCTGGGAGGTATAGCAGCTAGCGCTTGATGTCGAGAGGGCCTGACAGCATACTGACGCAGCGGTCATGGCGTAGAGTCGTGCCTGCTTCGCCCGAATATAATGCACCCCGATAATGAATGTATATATAAGCTATCTTTCTGGTCCGGTGCAGCCAAAACGAGTGTGCGTTGTGTTCGAGCGAAGACAGAGGTCCAAGTCTTTGAGATGGTTTGCTGTAGAATGGGGGTGGGGACCATTTAGAATTTGAACTCACGACCTGTTTATCAAAAGCTGCATGAGATTCTGCAAATTAGTTCCTCTACCCCCCCACCCCCTCCCCACCCCCTCCCTTTAAAACAGGTCCTTATGGCCCTGGCTCCATGTCCATTCTGCAAAAAAACAAAAAAGTTGGATCAGAAAACGGAAACAACACTTGGGGGTAGGGGTATATCAAGGGGGGGATCTGAACTCATGAGGGGCTTTCATTAAATTTTCACAAGATGCTTGCCGATTCCATCACACCAAAGTTACAAAACTCTTGTACAAACTTGATTGTCGAAATCGCGTGTAAATGCACAAAGGAAAAGGGAAAAAAAAGAAATTTGTCATGCGACTGAAGGGCATTGCCGATAGAGGGTCGTCGATAGAGAGGGCAACCGCCGCAGGTTGCGGACAAAAAGGCTCACTACGAAGATCCGGCGGCGATCGGAGAGCAGCCTTCAAGACACGCCTTCGGCCCTCGCGTTCGTCGGCTCGCCAGAGTCATTTTAGAAGGATTCACTACTGCTAGTAAAATTTAAAAAGTCTCATGGATACCACAGAATCAAGTCCTCGTCTATCATTTGAGGACTAGAACTCGTGACGTTTGTATGTATCAGCTGTGTGTGTGTAGTACTGTGTACCATTCAGGATTTGAACTCGTCACCTGGTCTCTCCCAAAGAACCGCCTACCGTCACCACAGACCGCCTGTTCCTCCTTGGAGGGCTAATAGTACATATGTTAGAACTCAGAAGGGTTTTTTTGCAAACTTGGATTGTGCCTTTGTTTTTTAATCTCTCCCTGATTCTGTTCCCGCTCACCTTACGAAAGTTGTAATCGCTGAATGCAAGAATATCTTTGCGCTGTTTATGTTGATTTTATGGAATCGCTTAAACAGTTTTTATGAGTACCTGTTGAAGGCATGGATACAGGGAGGCAAGACAGAAGAAGTTCAGTTTTATTGGTGAGATGCTCTTTGTATCTCTCTCTCTCCCCCCCCCCTCCCCTCGCTCTTTTCCCTCTCCCTCTCCCTCTCCCTCTCCCTCTCCCTCTCCCTCTCCCTCTCCTTTCCTCTCTCTCTTTCTCGGTATGAGGTTGTTTTCCGGGATTGTGTGTGTGTGTGTGTGTGCATTCTTCTGGTGCAATCGGAATGAACAAGAGAATCTCTCTCTCTCTCTCTCTCTCTCTCTCTCTCTCTCTCTCTCTCTCTCTCTCTCTCTCTCTCTCTCTCTCTCTCTCTCTTCACCATGGTCCATGCCACAATCGATGGCGGTGACTTCCTTTGCAACGATGATGTTGCCTTTGCCTCAGCAAATCATCCACTCTTTTATGTCGAGGACCACCTCCCCGCCCTTGTTCCGGAGCAGGAAATGTGTCAAAAGACTCAAAACTCTGTGACCTTCTCCTCTGTACGCCTGGAGTCGTCATTGTCTCTGCTGGACTCACGGCAATGCCGGCATTCTTCATCCACATGCGCAGACTGTTCCCCCTCCCTTCCTGACTGTGAGCACCCTCTGTATTCGGACACCATATGTTCATCTTGCAGCCAGGGACGTTCTCACATTTGCCAGGTAAATGCATGGTATTCTATGATGCCCGTTCTTCCTTTCGCCTGGCCTGCAACGGACATGCCATTTGTCCGGAGCGTTTGGCTGGCATGGGTATTGCCAGCCGTTGTGGCAGTTGTGCTGAGTATGCTCAGCTACTGCCTTCCCTGGAATAGAACGTATGGGTAGGCTACTTGGCTCGCCCAGCCGTGCACCCTGTCTGGGGAAGCCATTACACAAGCCAAAAGAAAGAAAGAGAAGGAAGAACTGAACCGATGAAAGGCAAGAAGAACGGTTTCAGCTGCCTCGTGCTGTCTGCTGTTTTTTGCTTCAATTTGTTTCGACAAGGACAATTTTTTTTTTTCCAGCTGATAGATATGTCATTGATTTGTTGGGTGTTGTCAACATTTACTCCCCTCTTTTCTTAAGGAACGAACTCACAACCTGTTTATTAAACCACCAGTACACCCAGGCCTGGAGGTGCATTACTGCGCGCCAAGCTTTTGCAAATCGCCAGCGGCGCACTTTCTTTCTGTTTCGGTGGGATCCACCAGCCATTGTGGTCCAATAGGCCTAGCCTCCGAAATTTCCGTAGGCGACGAGATGCATTTTCAGCAAGGCTGGGGCCGTGTGACTGGCGGTTTGGCAGTTGCATGGGTGGGGTAGGGGTAAGATGTGGGCATTACTGCATGACGTAAAAGCACAATTTACCATACTTGCAAGCGGACGCCGTCCGGTTCCGCACGTGCGGCAGACCGCCGGACCGAACCCGCGCGGCGCACGAATGTGCGCCCGACGACCAGTTACSSCCCMCCCCCCCCCCCCACCAAAAGAAAAASCGCGCCCSYCCGGGTCTGGTCCGGGTCTGTCCGGTCAGGAGGGAGGGTGCCGCACGCGGCAAAGCGGACCGGACCGGACGCTCGTCCGGTCCGTCTGCTTGCAAGTATGCAATTTACAACTGAATTTGTTGGGGTTGTTAGGGACTATGATGTCCTGTCTTCCCTTCTTCGAAGATGAAGGCAAGACGTGAAAAAGGATGCTGACAATAGGATAGCATCATGGCAGTAGTAGTTCAAGGGGTAGTTGAGGGGTTCTTTTGTTGTCGCAGCAATGGTGATTTCAGGAGCTGGTGTGTTGAGCTCTTCTGGCATGTATGTATTGTATTTGTGTAAGGAAAAGTTGGGGGGGTGTCTCGTTGTCACAAGAGCGGTGATGCGTGTTGAGCTCTTCTGCCATGTGTATTTGTCTAAGGAAAAGTTGTTTTTTCTTTGTGTGTGTGGGGGGGGGGGGGGGGGGTCTCTTGTTGTCACAATAGTGGGTTTTTCCGGAGCTGGCGGGTTGAGCTAGTCTGCCATATGTATTTGTTCTCTCGGACATATCGTTGCCGTGTTGATTTTCCTTCTTGTGGTTTTCGTATGCAGGGACATGTGGAAAAAGTCCATGAAGGGCTTGAAGACCCTGGTACGGACGTCGAGCCCTTCGGGGTACGTTTATCTGGCTGAGAGGGCTAATGATAACCTTATTCCGAAGGTGATTTCAAGTCGAACCCTTCGCTGCATGCACACACACACACAAACCGGCGTGCACATACCCTGCCTCTGTTAACTCCCCCCGATGCCCTCTGCCAGCCTGTAGACACACAAACATCATTGGCTCTGTGGCCCTTGTCTCCTCTTCTTTTCCCTTTTTATCCCGTATTAACCATGTTGTGTTTTGCTTTTCGATTTGGAACCCGCGATCTTCGTTTCGACAACGACAACGTAAAATTGTAATCAATTTGTGTGTGTGTGTACTGTTCGGTCGCAAGGTTGATATTACCATCGTCCCATAATACGCCTCATCCTTCCCGAGGGAAGTAATCAATGCCGCCCACTTGGACCTCTCAGCCGTAATGGGGAGGAGGAGAGTGTGTGAGTACTACCAGGTAGTATTTTCTTGACTTGCTGGTGGAAAAGGAGCCGGACTGCTGTTCCCCCGAATACCTCGTCGAAAAAAGAAAAAAGAGAAGGAAAAAAAAATGCACCGTCATCATGAAGGTATCGGACCAGGAAAGATCGCTTGGTACGTTCACAATCAGGGTGCCTTGTGTTCCGGTGAAGACGGTAGGTGCCTTGTGTTCGGGCGAAGACGGCAGGTGTCTTGTTTCCATCTCCTGTTTATTTCGGTTTTCAAATCGTTTGCCTACACGCTCTTTTTTTTTTTTTTTGGGGGGGGGGGGGGGGGGTGCGGGGGAGTGCTTTTTTTCGCCTCCCGTTGTGTGCCCTGATGTTGTGAAGTACCGTCTTCACTCGAGTACAAAACGCCCGGTTATTATCGCTGCATCTGGATGGAAAGTTGGCCCAAATACAGCCATAATGGCCGGACGTTGTATTCGGGTGAAGACGGTAGCTCTTATCACTGTTTCTGGATGGCCGGACGCACTCATTTATGTAAAAAAAAAAAAAAAAAAAAAAAAAGTAACTGGCTGTCTGCTGTGCAGTAGGTGGGTTCGCCTCCATCTTTGTCCGTAAACCACTGCCGCTACCTCCAAGCCTGGCTCTCTTTGCCGAGGCGGAGTAGAACAGCACGCCAAGCTTTGCCGAGGCGCCAGTGGGACCTTTTCCTTCCGTCTTGCCAGCCATTTTAATGCGGTGGCACCCGTCAAGTCAAGTAGAAAGCAAACATAGACATTTTGTAATCCGCACAAAGTGTTGAAACTTGAAACGACACATGTACGTAATCCACTGAAAAAAACTTGAAGAACAGTGGTAGGCGTGGCGTTTCGACGGTTGCCACACCGTCATCATCGGGGGGAGACTCCACCACTTGGACCCTGGATACCTCCAGACTTTCCGGACACAACCCACTTTTTTTCGTCCCTTCGCCGCTACACCTAATCATTCGTTCGTAGCCGACAAGGTCCGTCCGAGCTGCATGAGAGGATGATAGCACTACTAGTCAAGGTACTAATACCAAGCTACCCGACCAGTCTCCTCAGGGCCGCGGGACCGTGGGGCCCAACCTTATCCTGTTCCTATAAAGGTAGAAAGGATTGTAGGTCAAAACTACGCCAAGACTATAAAAACAGTACCTGATGGAACAAATACACACCAAAAAGAAGAGAAAAAGGAAAAAGGAAAAGAAACACAAAGAAAAAGGACACTGTAGGTCCGACAGTACACAAAAACAAAACAAAACAAAAAAACTACCTGATCAAGCTAGACCTCACCAAAACGAGAAGAAACAGAAAGAAAAGGAAAGGGCACGCGGCCTTGGAAGAATGCAGTATAGGAATGCTCACAAAGGTAACAGTGAGCATTGAGCAACGTATGGGCCTTGCTGCACTACTCTCCGAATGTGCAAAATGAGACTGAATCTTCCGCTATAACATGGAAAGATAACATTTCCATCCTTTTTGTCTTTTGTGCATGTGGAGAGTAGTGCAGCGAGGCCCTATGTGACGGCTGCAGAAAGAAAAAGAGTTGCAGAAGTGTGAAACTGTGGGAGCCAATGAATGTTGATGTTGGATTTGCAGATCGAGGAGTCGGATGACAGAGCCGAGCTCCGAGGTGTCGGGGTGGCTTGGATTGCAATTCTGTGTCTGATTGTGATTTACATTCGCGCATTGGCAGATGGATCATCTAGCCTGCTTTGCGGCAGGAATGTTGGCCCTAGGAGCTGATGGACCTGATCAAGAGGAATACATCAAGCTTGCTGAAGAGGTAAGTTTTTCTTACCTTTTTTTTTTATTTTTTATAAGAGGTAAGTGTATCAAGTTCCTCTAAGAGGTAGAAACTACTAGAAAGCTATGCTTGGAGGGGTCCCTGTATAGCCTTAGGAGTAGTGGTAGGTAGGTATTGAAAGAAAGATATGCTCCATGACATGGCAGAACGCTAGTTAAAAAGTATGCGAGGTGAGAGAAAAATATATGGCTGTCCCCCGATGAGAATAACGCAACCTCCCGTGAGGGTCCACTCTTTTTCTTGGAGGAAAAGTGGTGCAGTTTTCATTTTCAAAATTTACAATTTTGGGCTACCGTCTTCCCCCGAACATAACGCACCCTCATTCTGGCTGTATCTGGCCGGAAATATAGTTTGTATACATTCATTTTTAGTGTGCGTTATGTTCGGGGGAAGACGGTAGCTTCAGGCGGTGATTTGGGGGGAAGGGCTGGAATTATGTATGTCTGTGGTTTTGATGGCCAGGTTTTTGACAGCAGGGGACAGATGCCGTCGGGGTAGGGGGAGTACCGTCTTCACCTGCATAGAATGTGCCTGAACTGGGTATTTTTGATGGCAGGGGACAGATGCCGTCGGGGTAGGGGGAGAACCACTTTCTTCAGTAGCTCAAATGAATTTTGTCACTCGTGATGTTTGTTGTGCTCGCCAGAGGACCAGGATTAGTTAAATACAAATCAAGTCGACCCGCATAGGATGTGCCTGAACTGGGCCTACTTGACAGCAGAGGACAGATGCATAGGATGTGCCTGAACTGGGCCTACTTGACAGCAGAGGACAGATGCCATCGGTGTAGGGGACGTACCATCTTCATCCGTGGAGAATGTGCCTGAAATGGGGCATGAGCCTCGCTCGATAAAGTCATTATTTCCAAAAGATCCGCAGAGAAACTCTGTGTCACGTATCTCCGGACTTCTCTGCGGTCTCACCAATTACTATCACATAGCAGACTCGAAGCGCCAATGCGTAGCTAGATTGTCATATATACTTGCTGTACCAAGACTGAAAGTTGCGTTAAATACAGCTAGAATGATGTACGCGTGCACTCGCTGGCAGTATGTTCGGATTGGCGTGGGCGTTGTTGCGAACATGGCCTTTCCATCTTCACCCGATAGAGACTTTTTTTTTTTGGCGTGGAAGTCTTTCTGTATTTTTGAGTTCTTATTATTCTTTTCGTTTACTTTTTCTCACTTTTCTTGCTCCAACCAATGCTTTTAAGCGAGACATCGAAAGATGTCATGATGCTTCTACTCTGATGGCAATCCCAACATATGGGCGTTATAGCTGTATTTGGGGGCAACTTTCATTCTAGATAGTGCGCTAATGATTGGAATCATTGTACATTCTATTCGGGGCAAGATGATAGACTGGGAAATAATACACTGACCAAGCCAGCAAAGGGTAAGCTACTCTAAGATCAGACCACGTTTTTTTTTTCTTTTTTTTTTTGGACCATTTTTTTATCAAGTTTTGTGTGTCATCGTTGCGCAGGGGCGATGCTAATATTCTGTGTATTAAAAAAAAAAAAAAAGTCTGTATAGTTCCATTTTTTATGGATGTCCGAAAGGACAGGATCACACATTTATATCTGTCTTTGGAAAACAAAGAAATAAATTCAAATAAACTCAAATAATTACAAAAATGGTGGTTTAGTATTTTAGTATTTAATTATTTTGCAACGACTGTCGTTTTTTTTTGTATCCTACCAGAAGACAGTACGACACAGTAGCCATCAAGCCGTCACTGACAACAGCTGATGCGACCTAGAGAGTAACTCTGTTATTTTTGCACCCACCGGTACTCTATTTTGTCTGCTCCTGCTGTGTTTAATGGGTTGATTTTGCACATAAACAGTCGTAAACTCATAACCAAGCTGTTTGTCACTGATCCTACCCCTGTTCAGAAGCCTCACTGCCACCCACCATTCGTTAGCGAAAAAAACTACCCCTGTTCAGAAGCCTCGTTGCCGTCATTCATTACCAGTAGGTGTGAACTTGAGGTGCCTGTCTTCTTTGCTGAAGCACTAACACTAAGTTGCTGATCAATTTCCATGTGACTGTTGCTGCTGCTGCTGCTGCTGCTGCTGCTGCTCAACTGGTTCTTGGGCGGGATGGTTATGGAACTTTTGTTACTTTTTTAGCTCGCAAGGACGTGCTATGGATTTTATGAGAAAACGCCATCGACACTAAGCGGGGAGAACTACAACTTCATAGATGGAAGGGTGCGTATTCAACCGACAGTGTTGTCTCTGCACTGGCGGCCTCCTCACCTCACCATGCCTTGGATGTCTTGCCAATTCTTTTCCCTGTAGCCTGTGCAAAGGGCCAGAGGGGTTATTCCGTAATATATGAAGCAGATCGGAGGGTGAGGCTGGATATACTATGGGTGTGAGGTGTATGTATGTGTATTTGCGTGTATGTGTGTGTGTGTGTGCATGTGGGTCTGCACGTGTACACGGTGATGCAATGTGCAGTGTATGCATGTGTGCATGTGTGCATGTCTGCTCTCTGCAAGAGTGCATGTTGGTTCTGTGTGTGAATGGAGGCATGCCTTATGGCGCACAAGCAAAGGAGAGAGATGATGGGGAGCAAGTGAAAGAAAGAAAGAAAGTGTATGTGTGTGTGTGTGTGTGTGTGTGTGTGTGTGTGTGTGTGTGTGTGTGTGTGTGNGTGTGTGAGAGAGAGAGAGAGAGAGAGAGAGAGAGAGAGAGAGAGAGAGAGAGAGATGAGGGGGAGCAATTGAAAGAAAGAAAGTGTGTGTGCGTGGGATATATATATAGAGAGAGAGAGAAGGTTAGAGAGAGAGAGAGAGAGAGAGAGAGAGAAGGTTTCATGGCTAAGCAGATCCCAATGCACTCCACACACGAATGCTTCGTCGGGCAGTTGGAACACATCCTTACCTGCTTAAGTAGCATCCAGGCTCCAGACACTGCCCTCTCAGCCAGAAGAACCAAAAGATCAGATCTCGAGGCCAGTAAAAAGGTGTGTATGGGGTCTGGTCCTCACCTCTAAGGGTCAGTTTGGAGTTAGAGCGGCGGATGAGGCTAGGACTGAACTCCGCGGTAATGGCCTGAGCAGGTCGGTGAGACTATCGAGGCAACTGCTGTGGTAGATACTGTGGGAGGGGGGAAAGGGGGAAGATGAGGTCATTTCGTAGATCATTGCAGGTGGAGGGAGGGGAGGGAGGGGTAGATTAATCAAGGTCATTTCACAGCTGGGTGGGGTGTTCAAAGAGGAAAAGAAGGCTTGGGAAGACGGTCGGGAATTCGATCTGAGAGGGGAGGGGCGTGGGGGGAAGTCGGGTCAGTTCGTATGTCATCGAGGGTGCAGGGAAGGGGGGGTAAGAATGGGTATTGGATCAATCAAGGTCATTTCGATCAACTTCCTCCAAAATTGAAAATAAACAATAGAGATGTCCTGGAAAGGGAAAAAAGAAAAACGGTTTGGTGGAAAGAGCATCATCTCAAAACCTTCACTCCGTTCCAAAAAGAAATGTGCTGGAAAGGGAAAACAGAAAAAAAGATTGGTATCCTACTATCCATTGTCCTGAGAAGGGCCACTCGAAACCTTCACTCCCTTCAAAAAAGGGAAGGGGAAAAAAAAAAAAAACAGAAAATTTGAGCCCCCCCCTCCCCCCGCCCCCTCAACCCCGCCCAAAAAAAAAACTCGACAAAAATGTGCGGGAAACAGCACCCATTGTACATAAAGAAACACAACCGCCACAGTTTGCTTTTTGGTTTTGCTCATTGACGTATGTCACGTTTGCGTTGATCTGTTTTGCAGGATTTCATGGTGGGAACCCCGTATAACATTCTTCGGCCCGAAACGGTTGAATCGTTGATGATTCTGTATCGGGTCACGAAGAAGCCTATATACAGAGATTGGGGCTGGAACATCTTTCAGAGCTTTGAGAAGAAATGCAAGGCCGAAGTCGGATACGCTGGGTTGAGAGATGTGAGTCGAACATGCGAATGAACTCCGTCGCATCCCTAACCCTAAAGAAAATAAAGCCTGATCAAACTATCATGGGTGTGGTTTCGGAAGCTTTGAAGCAATAGAAAGAGTATGGTGCACTTAAAAAAAAAAAAAAAAAAAAAACAGATCACCGGGGTCAAGCACTGGTAAATCCTTTTGCAAAACGAGCAATCGATGCCCCGCTGTCTGGGGTCCTTCGCCATAATGGAAGGAAGCGTGGAATATGTCTCTCGTATGTAAGGGACGCTGGACCTGGTTTCCAGCTTCAAAAAAAAAAAAAAAAAAAAAAAAAAGTGTACAGGCATACAGGGCTAGGGGACCCGTACGAGTACGCATACGTGTACAAGGACAGGCCACCTTTCCCCACGCAAAGCAACACGACACATACGCGGCTAGGGGACCCGTACGAGTACGCATACGTGTACAAGCACAGGCCGCCTTTGCCCATGCAAAGTTACACAATGCATATGGGGCTAGGGAACCCGTATGAGTACGCATACGTGTACAAGCACAGGCCGCCTGCAACACAACACCAAACCCTAACTAATCCACTTTGCATTCCATGCAAAAGTCTAATGTCACATGCGGCAGATATCTACCATCGTCCTTCGAACATAATACACCCTGATTATGCATGTATACAAGATACATTTCTTGTCCGGTACTGCGACAATAAGAGTGCATTGTGTTCGGAGAAAGAAGGTAGGGGAAAAAGACTGGTTGCATTCACCAGGTTGAGGCGGTTTGCTCAGCTAATAGAACTGGTAGCATTTACGGGCTTGAGCGATGTACTCAAGCCACCTGAACCCTAAACGGTAAACCTGTCGAAGATGTTTGGGGCTGTCCCGAACGCCCGACATGTTCGGGTGTTCGGCCGAACCCCTCCCAAACGTGTTCCGTCGAACCTTTTTTTTTTTTTTTTTTTTTTTTTCTTAACTGGTTTTTAGGTTTTTTATTTTTAACTCGCGTTTGGCGAAGAACTTGAACATGCCTCCCAGGCAGAACTTGTTTGTATTATTATTTTGCATAACATTTTTTTTGTTCAGAGTTTTCTGAGGAACTTTCTCTTTTTTTTTTGTTTTCTTTATTATTTTTACTTTATGTTCGCATTGATTTTTGTGTTCGGGTGTGGAGGGTTGTGGTGCGCGTTCACGTTCAGTCGCGAACATTCGGGTTCGGTCACCGAACCCGAACACAATGCTACGCAGCCCTAAACAATGAATTTCAGCTGTGAATCCTCATATGCCTGAGGCCCTAAGTTCTAAACCGTCACCGGGCCAAAATCGCCAGTGATCAGGCGCAGTGCAGGCTCGGAGGGCCAGGGCCTGTGGGCCGCAAAAATCCAACTGCTCCAGCCCAAGGTGAGAACGACGCCTGCTGCCTGTCTCCGCTGGAAAAGAGGCTCCAGTCCTGTGCGGGTGTGTGTATGTGCGCAGGCGCTCCATCCACCCTTGTTCTGCAGATAGAATTTGACAGCTCCATCTGCTAATCCGTAGAACCCTGGCCGGACGCTCTAAAGCTTGAACCCTGCCGTGGACCCTAAACCCCAAACTACGCATCACTAACACGTAAACCCTAGACTGCGAAACTCAGCTCCATCTGTTTGTGTTTTTTCGGTTCTGGGCAAGAACCTAGGCCCAAAAATTTTGAGCTCGAACCCTGCACTTCACCCTGAAACAAAAAACCACCCCAGACTTCAAACCAAGTGACTGAGTCTTTTTAGTTTAAACCGTAGAGCCTTAAACCGCTAGTACCTTTGTCGGTCCGGAAAATAGTGGGCCTCCGGCCTTTCAGGAGGGCCGAAACGAAACGACGGTCGCCGATCAGATTTATCAACGGCAGCCGTTGTCGGGCCCGGCCACCTGAAAGTTCGGGACTAGGCTAAAACTTCCCGAAACTGGACAGCAAAGGTAATTGCAAGGATCCTGACTGATCACAACTTGCTGGAATGTCTCATTCGCATGCACACATATCACCAAACACAGATAGGATAGCTTCACACAAAGCTCAAAACTGAGATGAGAGAAGAACCGAGTAGCGCAGCTTATATTATCAAAATCACGTTATACAAGAGTATCTCAAGTTCAAGAGTCCAGTGCCCAAAGTAGGCAAGTCTCTCCTTCGTACCAACATACATACAGAGCCTGGCTTAGCCAGCGCTTGTTCCGGTTCTCAAAAATGGCGCCAACAGGTAAGTTTCCACCGTGACCAATGTGTCCACCTGTCTTCACTCTCCCTTGTTCTCTTCTCTCAAGATCTCTATCCCGGTTCTCCTCGTCTCTTCTTACATGCACGCTCCCTGTCTACAAGGATCTACTCAGAATGCCTCTCGCTGATGTTCTAACACTAACCCTGTTAATACTACTACTAACTCTAGCTTTGCCTGGCGCAGCTATGGCTCCTGCAGCCAGCGCAGCTTCCCTTCCTCTGGCGCAGCTTCCTCTTCAGCCAGCGCTCCTCCCTGCACCTCAACGCACAAGTGCCTCAGCACTTCCACGTATCAATGCCAATGGGAATCTGCCTTGTGGGGAAGCTGCCTCGTTTCTTATAGTGCTGGTCTCCCCTGGCAAGGTCTGAATTCAGTCTTTGTTGGTCCTTTTACCAGTCCCAGCCTCTGTGCTGTGTGCCACAGTTCCTTTTCCTCAGGGTCCACTGCTGCTGCAGCCTTCAGGCCTCAATTTCGGACTGCAAACCTGAATCTGGACTTCTCCTTTGACTGGAATCCTAAACTGGGACTCAACCTTTTGACTTCCTTTTGAAAGGACACACCTGCTATACGTACAGACATACATTTTACACGAACAGACACATACTGTACGTACAGACACAACTTTTGCATGAACAGACATGGACTGCACATCCCCTGGATGAACAGTTGTGTTTGAACACTGCGACTGTTCGTCCAGGGCACAGCTTTTGACCTTTGACAATGATTTTTTTTCTTTTTCTTTTTCTTTTTCTTTTTCTTTTTTTTTTCTTTTTTTTTTTTAAACAGGGCCTTAGGGTCCTGCCTCCTTCTATTCTGGGGAGCGTCGTTGATCTTTACTTCGTTAGGATGTGCCTTTTGGCCCAAAGAACATGCCTGTTGATCTGCTTTTCACGAGTTGGGGGTCTGGCGAGTGACCCCTCTATGCTGCACTTCTCAAACAGGGTTTGAATCGGGTAAAGGCCCATCTATAATAGTAGTTTAAACAGGCGAATGAAACCATAAGCTCCATCCCCCCACACCCGAGACTGCCGAACCACCAACACATGAACAAACTATAAACCCTAGAGTGCCAACCACCCTAAAATCTCTATCCCAAACCTTAACCCCAGACCGCTGACCTCAATCTGTTTGCCTCGGTTAGGTCAGTGGTTAAGCCAGACGCCTAGATACCGTACCAGATCAAATCAGGCCGTCTGAAATCCATGGCTGGACATGATCCCGCTGGGGCCCCAGATGTCTTGCTAGGACCAGATGTCGTAGGACCAGATGTCGTGCTGGAAATGAAATGCGATTCAAGCAATTTCTGCATATGTCAAGACATATAAATCCCAGCCAGGATGCCACAGAGCTCCAGGTGATATCACCCGGAAATGCGAACATGTAAATCCATCAGACCTGTTGAAAAGCATAAAGGAAGTTCTTACCAGCGCAATGAAGCATATAGGAGGTTCAAGGATAAATATTCTCGGTAATCTGAGCAAGCAGAGTAAGGAATAGTTGGATTAGTAGTAGTTTAAGACGATTAGGAATTTATGACACATTTCCTCTGCCCTCCCCACAGTGGTTGTAGGAAATGTGTCAGTTAGACCATTCTTCCGTAAAGGCTGTATAGGAGATTGATGTTGAGCGCTAAGCCTCTGACTTGTTACTTGCTGGCTTGCCTGCTTGTCACATCCCCCTGTGTGTGTGTGTGTGTGTGTGTGTGTGTGTGTGTGTGTGTGTGTGTGTGTGTGTGTGTGTGTGTGTGTGTGTGTGTGTG